AATAGGAAATAAGAGATAGGCAGTAGTATAATATAGAATAAAAAGTTAAGGAATAGTAGGTATAGGTTGATTTGATAAAGAAAGAGGGGAGAGTCATAGAATAGGGGTGGCTTAGTAAGCATGATTAGATAATCCTTGTTTAGTTATTAGTTAGCCCCTAGGTGCCATCTCCTAGTAGCTATTTTTGATTCCTTTAGGAATTCAACTAGGCTTCCCTGGCCTTCTTTAGAAAATAGATAGAAAAGATTATAATAATCTTTTCTATCTACTCTAGAGAATGCCCTATATCTGATGTCTCTATAGGCTGGGCAGTGGAATAACAGATGATATGGGGTCTGCTCCTGGTTTGTTTGGCATAGATTGCAGGTTCCACTATTATGTGCAGGTAGCCTAACTAGTTATGACCTGAAATACCCATGACCCAGTTTTAGCTGGATAATAGATGACCATAGTTGCTTAGTCAGCTTTAATGGGCTAGGTTTCCACTTAGGCTGCATTTTAAATTGCTTATAGTGGTCACTAGTCCTAGCATTACCCCATATATCTTGCCATTCTTCTAAAGCCTTTGCTTTTAGCTTCCTTTTTAAGAAGCTAAGAGATAGAAAGGTCTTAGGGTCTTTTTCTGACCAATCAGCTCCATATTTAGCACATTCATCAGCTTTAGCATTCCCATATATGCCCATATGACCAGGGACCCAATCTAGGTAGATTTGAACCCCTTTTTCCCTAATTTTTTGAGCCCAAAGATAGATATCTCTATATAGAGCTTGACTAGCCTTAGGGTCTCCCTTTTCTAGAGCCTTTAGGGCAGCCTGACTATCAGAGAAGATCCACAGATCTAGAGTCTGAATCTGAAGCTTTTTATAAGCCATTTTTAGAGCTTTTTTTGATTGCATAGAGCTCAGCATCATAGACTACACATTCTTTGCCTAAGTTCCAGGCCCAGCATTCTTGATTAGTAAAGCCTTTATTAGTAATAAAGATTATTATTATTATTCTTCTTCCATTTTAGAGACCGTTTTTCAAAGACTATGCACGGTCTGCCTATTACCTAAGCAATAGGACTTAGTAGTAAAAAAAACTCTCGCGCTCCCAACACGCCCCCCCAATTTGGGGGTATTCGAACTCGATTTTGACACCAATTTGTTCTACTCATCAAACTTAATAACATACTCGATTTTTATTTCAAATTACCCCTTTGTTGTCGGTTGGGAAGACCCCAAAACCCCCTGTGAGCCGGCAAAGAAAATTTTTGTTTTCCCTCCCGCTACGGGAGCCCAGTCAAACAACCTGCGCAAGGGGGGAAGCCACG